TCGAACCCGATATGGAAATTAAATTATACTTTAGAAATTAGTTAATAAAATTAATAATTGTTCTAAGCGCAAAGCTTCATAGATTAAATATATGCGTACATACATAATAATTTATAGTAACGTATTTAATACTTACTTTTCAATTCTCTCCCTTCGGTGGTACACGGCCCTTCGTCTAACATACATTTGATATAATTAGTGAGAACTCGACCGTTTTGGAGAATCCGGTCAACATCCACATCGTCGTATTTGTTGGAATATTTATCCGCTGTTGCACAAACAATTAAAGCGAATAGTAGGAGACAAATCTTCATTTTGTAATCAAAGCACATATTTCCGCTTTAAATTCGAAAACGTCAAGCGCGTACAAACGGAGGAGTAACTGTACAAGGTCAAATGTTACTCTACGTTTTAAAGTAACGAGACTTAGAAAAAAAGATTTTTCAAAGCTATCCTCTGAGATGGAAAGTAAAATACTGTTTGTAACTGATGGAGCTAACGAATTATATAGCCAAGTCGCAAGGAGCACATTGGAGGGAGTGCATGAACGCGTTAATCGAGCACGTATATGTTCAAGTATATACACCTTCGTTAATCGATTCATAAGTTGACTGTTCACCATCAACTGCAAATGTCGGGATATCATAATTATAAAATATTAAAATGTAATTAATAGTAGATAGGAAATTTTATTAACATAATAATTTTTCAAGGCAAGAAACCGAACAGATTTTCATTTAATAATTAAGATGACTTTTCTTTAGCAGAATATTCATTTACATTGTCAGCACAATTAATGTTGCGCACCGATAACGATTTGTTTTGGATAATTGTATGAACATTTTAAATTCTGTAGCGAACGTTTGCTGCACTAACATACTGAATGGTTAACGTTAATGCAAGCAGAATTATTCCAAGAATAATGAGGAGATTAGGTATTCTCTAAGTTGCGTTCAGAGAATGATCATCACGCGCTTACTGGTCATACTTTATCAAGGACTGTACTAACAATACGATAATTTGTAATGTTTAATCAATACACATTCGTTTGTGCTTAATAATTAAATAAAGGTAATAATTTATTTTCCTTTAATTCTATTCAAAATTGAATTAACATTAATTACCTAAAAATGTGTAATTCTAAAGTTTTTGTCTGATAGTGTGTATCATCGTATTTTATTATTACGTACTACACGTAGTCTAGCTTCTTCGCAGAATTTTTTACTGCTTGTTAATTCACAAGAGAATATTGTTTTCATGTATATTTCAACATTAGAATCTAAATAGTATGATTAAGATTCAAGACATATTGTGACTTCAATCCCCTTT